CCGTAGTCTAGACGTGCCCTTAGTCTCTGTAGACCAAGGCAAGAAAAAAGCATTGAGTACTTCAGCTTTTTTCCACATCATCTTCGTTAGGTTGCCTTCTCCATTCAGTAAGGGTCTCACACCTTCCCTGACCACTTTATTGCTAACATGCCTATAGAAACTCTTATTGTTACCTTTCACATCCCTCTCTAGCTACAATTCCAATTGCTCTTTGGCCTTCCTGATTACACCCTTGCATGCTTGAGCAATCTTTGTATACCTTTCCCTGGTTATCTATCCAGGTTTCCACTTCTGATTTGCATATCTCCTTTTGAAAAAACAAACAAACCCGTAGTCTAGACGTGCCCTTAGTCTCTGTAGACCAAGGCAAGAAAAAAGCATTGAGTACTTCAGCTTTTTTCCACATCATCTTCGTTAGGTTGCCTTCTCCATTCAGTAAGGGTCTCACACCTTCCCTGACCACTTTATTGCTAACATGCCTATAGAAACTCTTATTGTTACCTTTCACATCCCTCTCTAGCTACAATTCCAATTGCTCTTTGGCCTTCCTGATTACACCCTTGCATGCTTGAGCAATCTTTGTATACCTTTCCCTGGTTATCTATCCAGGTTTCCACTTCTGGTAAGCTTCCTTTTGGGGTTTAAGCTCATTGAAGATTTCTCTGTTAATCCAAGAAGGTCACCTGCCATATTTGCTATTCCTTCTGCGCATTAGGATGGTCTGTTCCTGTGCCCTCAATAAGGCTTTTTTAAAATATAGTCAGTTCTTCTGGACTCCTTTGCTCCTCGTATGAGCTTCCTAGGGGATCCTACCCATCAGTACCTGAGGAGAGTCAAAGTCTTCTTTTTGAAGTCCAGGATCTGTATTCTGCTTCTCTCCTTTCTTCCTTTTGTCAGGATCCTAAACTCAACTGTCTCATGGTCACTGCTGCCCAGGTTACCACCTACTTCTACTTCTCTTACCAATTTGACAAGAGCATATCTCCTCCCTAGTTTGAGATAATATGCACAAGCGAGTTTGGCCTTGACTAGTTAGAGTAGGGTCCATTTTACTACTTTTAAAGTAGAGCATTTCCTTGCATGTGTAGCCACCGAGTGATCTGGCGCTTTCCTTGGGATAGGCTGTGCAGCTATTTCATTTGGCTGAACAGAAAAGTCCCATATGTGACAAGATTCCCCTAGGATCTGGGGCTGTGGGACTGCTTTGCCTTCTAAACTCTTTCCAGCCTGAGCCCTCTCTCACAATGCCTTGCTTGTGACCAGCAGCAGCCTCATCAGGTGCTGTTATTACTCAGCACAACCACATGTGGAGCCCAACACCCAGTCCGATGGCATGAATGCTCCCAGAGCCACTCATGAATCTCTCAGAATAAATCACCAGCTACTCCCACTCCCAGCTCCCACAACTGAAGCATCTAATTTATTAATTGGTTCATCACTTCATCAAAGGAAAGTGCACATGTACCAGCTTTTGTAAAACCCGAGCACATTTGCCACACACTTCATACAAACTTAATGGTAATTATAAACAGTAAAAGAAGTTTATTGAGCACAGAGATAAAATGTAAGTGGCTATAAGTGTTAAATAGTCTTAATTGTCTTCCTAAAAATAAAGAATATTTCCTTTTATATTCTCAGGCATATTTCCTACTTTTGATTTAAGAGTTCTTCTGTAATGAATTTGTTAAGTGGACATTTGCATGCTTGACTGACTGCAAAAGGTACTTAAATACATAATCATAAGTGAAAAATTTGGTGAGAGGTAAAGGTTATGCGTGACAGAAAGCCAGAAACTATAACAAACATTTCTTGAATGTTTTGTTTGTCTTAGCTGTAGGTCTCAAAACCACAGTACTGAATAATTATATTGGGAACTGATATTCATCCCATTTTATTAAATGTATTGGTGTAGTGTTAATGCGGTTAAGGTTTGGGTGTTTTTTATGTCAAACCCAGTTTAGCATTTTTTATATAATAGTTTTGATTATTTTAAAATCTCTGGAACAAAAAAGCTTTCAGTTGCTAGTGTATACGTCTCTAATTTATTGATGTGTCCCTTTTATAAAGCTTTAGTTAGCATATTTGGTTTTGATGTCTTTATAGTTTTGAGAAATAATGGGCCAGTCTCTGGCCTCTGTTATAGATCCTTTATGTGATTCCAAGAGTGCAAAAGAGTTGCAAGCTGCTGTAAGCTGGCAAGTGGTGAAACTTTGCCTGGCAAAGCCATTCCTCTGTCAACTCCCTACCCTCTGGCATAGTTAGGGAGTGTTTTGGGTAGGGGAAGTGCTATAGCACTCCTTGGCTGACATAAGTGCTGCTGTGCAGCTTCTACAAGCCTGTATACATTAGAAAACTCGAAATAAAGGTGGCATAAGAGTGGTACCTTGGGTCTTCTCATTTCAGCTCCAGCTACTAACTTAAGCAGATTAGAGGATAAAGCTGATGATTAATGAGGATAAAGCTCTTTTGACCTGTTCTGTGTTTTCGCTCCAATAGCAAGTCCCTCATGAAAACATAATTCTTTAAGGCCTATGTTATTGTCAAGTTCCTAGAAGGCTATTCTGCGTATTACCAAAAATCTCTACCATCATCACTCTTGGTTCCCTTCTTGGAGGTCTCAGCCGAACAGGGACTGACTGCATGTGCCTGAACTATAGTTTTAATCCTATAAATTGAATTCTTCTATGTCAGACTTGAGACACATGGGCATGGAGATATTTGAGAATCTACTGCTTGTGTTATGTCTGTTCTTTGGTAAATTATTTTTTTTCAGGCTAGTGTTTTAACTGGAGAGAGAGAGAGAGAGAGAAATGTACCAAGGCTGTTTTTAGAAGGGGAGGGAGAAATTTGTTTTGTATTATTGGTGTTTATGGAACATATACTGGGCTATCTATAATTTTATTGTCTGGTTGCAGTCCCATATTTTATTTGCACAAATGTAAGGACATTCAAATATACCAAGTAATCATAAACAAACAGCTAGCATCCTGAGCTGTCTGTCCTGTTATTGGTGCATTGGTCTCATGAAAATGTGTGGTATATTGATTAGAATTTCTAATAGATCAGTAAGATAATGATCCTTCAGTGATCTGGGTTTGGAACCCTGCACTGGCACAGAATCATTGGGCTTTGCATGGTCTGCTCACATAGAGCTTTTTCTAGAAACAGAATTATATGGTACAGTACTCAGAGTATGAGATAAAATAGTTCTTAGCCATTGCAAGGTGGTATTCAGTGCTATTTCCAACATACAAGAAATACTGCAAGCAGGAGCTGTCCGAGGCTGGCTGTGGCAGCTGGTGCCCCAAGTGGAACGCGCGATCGGCACCCCCGATGGTCTGCTCACATAGAGCTTTTTCTAGAAACAGAATTATATGGTACAGTACTCAGAGTATGAGATAAAATAGTTCTTAGCCATTGCAAGGTGGTATTCAGTGCTATTTCCAACATACAAGAAATACTGCAAGCAGGAGCTGTCCGAGGCTGGCTGTGGCAGCTGGTGCCCCAAGTGGAACGCGCGATCGGCACCCCCGCCTGCACTGCCGTCAATGGCGTGACATTGTCATTGGGCGCCCCGTTGAAGAAGATGCCCTAGGGGACGGCCTAGTCGACCTATACTCACGGGCCGCCCCTGTGCAAGTCTGCAGGGGGGCGGCCCGGGGCCAGCTGCAGCAGCTGGCGCCCCAGGCAGGGCGGCGCCCCTGCCTGCATGGCCGTCGATGGCTGTGACGTCATCACAGGGTGCCCCGTTGCCCCGTGACGTCATCATCAGGCGCCCGGGCTAGTGGCACCCTAGGCAGCTGCCTAGTTTGCCTAGGCTCACGGGCCACCCCTGATACTGCTGGTGATAAAATACTAGAACTGAAATTTCATAAGAGGGAATCAGGCCCATATTTCTCCATTTGTGCTTCCTCTGAAGTCAGTGACTGAATAAAACCCCATTGATACAAATAGCCAACATGTTTAGATTAGATGGTGTTCAAACTGGATGAGAGAGATGCACTTGAAGAACGAATAAAGATGGGTTAAAAGTGAGATTTTCAATTCACAGTTGATAGTAAGGATGCCTAAAGATATGGATTTCCCACGTCTCTGCCTATCTCTTCACCTCCTTCCCCCCGCCCCTGTATCTCCCTAGACAGTAACTTCCAGGAGGAGAAATATGTCAGAGCTTTAATGACAGGTCTAAGTCAAACCTAAGACAGCAAGTCTTATCATCAGGAAGGTGAAAATGTACCTACCAGGATTTCTTTTTAATGCTCTGATGTTAATGAAAAAGTGTCTAAATCTGATAGAGCAGTAGACCAAAGGTACAGATATAATCACAATGCAAGTGTGTTCAATTAAGCATGAAATTTCCAGTCTTAGATTTCCAGTATAAATGCATTATTTAAATAATTGAGCCCTCTCCCGGGAACATAAGATAGATTTAACAAAAGGGCCATGCTAGGCTTCCTCTTGACATGTGCGACCATTTTTCTGTATAAAGTCAAGTGCAAACATCTCTGGGTGTGCATCCAGAATTCTAATACTTAAAACAGTACTTTAAGAAGTTAAGGACCTGGACACACAAATTCTAACATTTGCATCTGCGAAATCCATTGGTTCCAATTGCACTTGGTTAGGTGTTTAGAGACTGCATATGTATGTGTTAAAGTACACACAGCTGTTTGCACTTGCCAATTTTAGGTTAGGGATGTTAAAACTGTTTTAAGCTTAGGTCGCACCGTTCAGCCCGCTGGCCATGCCGCAGCCAGTGTTGCTCTGGCCTATTATGGCTGGCTGCCACCAGAATTAACTGACAAGGGTTGGTTCACCTGTAAGCATACCAGTAAGTCCCATGCTTACTGATATGCTTTCCAGTTAACATCCCTAGATTAGATCTATATATAGTGCATTTTTTTCATGTACACAAGTAAGTGGCAGCTGGCTTTTGAAAATGTACCCCTTTATTTGACTATGAAACTTAAATGAGTCATGCTCATTTCTGTCTTTTCAAGATTATTCTGAATTGGGAGATATTCCACCTAGGTCCCCATTAGAACCAGTTTGTGAAGATGGTCCCTTTGGACCAGTGAAGGAAGAGAGGAAACGGACATCTTGGGAGCTTCGGGAACTATGGCAGAAAGCCATTCTTCAACAGATACTGCTGCTCAGAATGGAAAAAGAAAATCAAAAGTTGCAAGGTTAGTAATCATTTTAATTAGCTCGTATGGAGAACAAGTTCTTTGTGGTTGGTTTGTGTTGAAGACTTTGCAGTGAATAGGATCAGGTCTTAATAAAAAATGTAAAAGCAATATAGATAAGTAAGTCTAGCACTGTCTCTCCCAATCCTCTTTCTGTGTAGTCTTTCCTCATTTAATCTTTTACCTACGGCTTATTTACTTTATCTTAATTGCCACTTTACTGTTGGCCTTTCATTGGATGTTTTTATACTGGTGCCAGAAAGTGCTGATAAGGAGCTCAGCTCTGTCCTTCTCAACTGCCTCTGTAGTATATTCTGATGCCCAGGTGGTTGTTTAAACCATTAAATTCTGTCTATCTATTCGGGGAGTTAGAGCCCTCAAACAGTTGGCCTTATTCTGCAATCTGTAGTGAAATACTGTCTACGAGGGTGCTGACAGTTACATAGACATTATGCAGACACTGATAGTAATATAATAGGAACTGAGTAATGTAATGGTTTGCATAAACTTAAAAAACAACAAATGGTCTGGTAGCACTTTATAGACTAACAAAACATGTAGATGGTATCATGAGCTTTCATAGGCATCCTAAAGTGCATCAAAACTCAAAACTCTGGTAATCTGTAGAAGTGGGCTGTGCCCATAAAAGTTCACGATACCATCTACATGTTTTGTTAGTCTATAACAAACTAATTTTGTTAGTCTATAAATTGCTACCAGACCATTTGTTGTTTTTTAAGTTTATCCTGTACACACTGACCTGGCTATCCCCTGAAGCTTGTGTGTTTTGTGTAAGAAGATCAGAAAATAGTCATAAGATATTAGAAAACAATCATAAGGTATTAGAAAGGTAGATATGGCATTAATATTTAAGTCCTTTTTTCTCTCTTCTGTTTAACTGTTTTTATTTTATTTTTTTCATTTTAATGTGTATGAACTTTCCAAGTATTAACCAACCTTATTCATAACCTGGTTTTGTTACCTTTTTCAGAGACCTGTTTGTGTTTGGTTAACCTGTTGTACAAATTGTAAAAGATGGTAACGATACACTGGAACATTTGCATCCGCCATGCCAGTCCTGAAAGATTTTGTGTAGTATGGACTCTCGGCTCAGACACAGATTTCTAAAACTTCCAGTTAGAGCTTTAACTTGAAGCTATGTTATGCAGTTGCTGTGGGAATTTCTGAACCTGTGAGAACCTAAATGTATATTTTCCTCTTTTTTTAATACTTCTAAAATTTATTCGTTGCCTCTTTCACCTTCAAACTGAAACCCACAGCTAACATGTTAAACTATTGTATGACACTTATATCTGTGAAAAGTAAGAAAATAATCACCTGTTGAATACCACTCTGTCCAGAGAAAATAGCTACTAATTACTAAACAACCACAAATACACTAGAGATCAGTATAAATGAAAGAAACAAGTCTACACAAGACCTAGGGAGTGTGCTATACATGTCAAAGAAACAGTATCACATGTATATTGGAATTGCTTTTTTTTCTTCCTTACAGGCAGATACATTTCAAGGAGGGGAGTTGCTGGTATATAGAAGAAGCAGCCCATAACATGTTTTGAAAAGCAGTAGAAACATGCATTAGCAGGCTCTGCTTTACTATTAGCCATATATTCTTGGGGTTTCATCTTTGGAAACTAACAGTAAATATTTTAATATGCAATAATATTCCAGTAAGCCCAGAACTTGTTCATTTTGATTACTACTAAATTAAGTAGTAAATGTGCTAAAATTAAATGGGCAATATAGTATTTACTACACACCCTTTTTAGCTCCTGGTACATTATGTCCAGGTGTTCTCGCTTACTAAGGACATGTTCTACCTTCAGTGTTTGCATACCACTACATTTGACTTCCATAAGCATTCTCTATATTGAACAGCAAGGCAGAATTGTTTCCAAATGTAAAAGTGGCAGATACTATTGTTAACTGCAAAAGACAAAACAAAAAAAATCACAGTGAGCTTGTCCATCAGCTCTAATGCAGGCTGCCACTGCAATGCTTATTTTAGTTATCTTTGTATAGGAGGACCAGGGGGCTTAAGGATTTTTATATTTTTTTTGTATTTACTTGAAGAAAATCTGAAAGAAAATCTGATCCTCTGATGAATAGAGTTTCACTTATATACAGAGTTACTTTCTAAACTGACACGTAACTATAACACACCCACTGATGCTATAATTGTTTTAATTCAGCATTTAAGCATACAGCAATTTGTAGTAAAAATGTTGTTGGAATATCAGGGTATGAGTTATGATGTGTCTTACCAAGAATGTGTAGCTAAATAATACTTCTACTGAAGCGTAACCACAATCCGTCTGAATTTGTTTTGCCTGAGAGTGCCTAATTCTTCTCTTACAAAAAGATCAACATGTATAATACCCAATTCTCATTGTGCTCTGGTAGTTTGGCTCACCTTTAATTACACATTGAATGTACCCATATGGTGAGTCTGAACATTGAGCTGAAAGAAGTAGTCTTGGCTAGCGTAGCAACAGACCATTTTTCCCTTCAGTCTGTAGCTCCCCTTGATGCTAATGAGATAGGTACCGTACACTGATCTAGGAGAGAATAAATCACATTATTTGTATGTTGTTCTCTGCACAAATCTCCATTATCAGTGTCACTGCTTGTGTTTACAGCAAAAGTCTCATCATTTGAAGGAGGGACAGCTCCAGACTGTAGAAATTGAAGAGTAAAGGTCACAGGTGCTTAGATTCTTTGCAGTCTTACTCTTATCTGTCCTGGAAGTAAACAGCCATGATGGCAGTGTGAAAAGGAGGAAAGAAAAGTTAAGGAGTTAAGACTTAAAAAAAACAAAACCAAACAACCCAACACTTTGCAACCGGGCATTACGAAAAAAGTGCACTGCTTATTTTTAACCTTTAGGGTCTTTCTGCATCCTAGTTTCACTCACTCCTCTCATGACTTGTCACAAAAAGTCCCATGTATATGTGTCCTTTTGATGGTTGTAATTCCAATCCCGAGCCAGTTTTTTATGACACCAGGCATAAATTATTATATACCAGTATCAGTTGACTGTAAAGGCAGAGGTGGTACTGAAAGCAAAATTAGTACTGAGCCATCCAGAAAAGACGGAGTAGTAAACATAACCTTTGTCACTGTTTTTAAAATGCCTTGTAGAGTGTAAAGCGAAAGTCTATTTTGCTTTCTTTAAAGAGTAATAATTATTCATTCATTCAAAATCAAATGTGTGTACATCAAAAGAAAATTTATGTTTGGATTTTTTAACCACAACTTTGGCATAACGGGATGGGTCTGTGAAAACAGACAAACACAAAAAAGTGACCTCTTACAAGCATTGTAAATAATAATTGCTCATTAGAATTTGTTTTCCCTCTAGTATTAGTTCGCAAAAACAAGCCACACAAGCATTAAATACAGATCAGTGAAACCAATAAGAATGCATAATTTCAAATCCTAAAACCATCCCATTGTAAGGATTTTTGAGTATGGTAATGTAGAGGTTCTTTATCAGAGGGCTTAGGGTAACATAAAGAGATTAGAAGAATATGGTAAACTGTAACACTAATTCTTATGTTAGTTCTCATCATAGACAGCTATCTTAAAAATTAATATTAAGTAATTTCATATTTAATATCAAAAGTTTGGGCAGCTCACTTGAAACTATCTTTACAAAGGTATGTAAGCACCTAAGATCGTAGTCAGGTACCCAGTGAGATTTATAAATTTACATAAGCAAATTCAGCACCTAACTTAATGAGAGTTTATAAGGTGCCTATCTGCATCATTAGGCACATATATCTGTAAATCTAGTCTGTGATGTCTCTGTGACTTGGTTTATCCATCTGGAAAATGATGGTCATTCTAATGAGATTCAGTATTGTAAGGAGTAAAGTGTTTCAGTTTTTAATTTTGTAAATTCCTACATAATTAACTTGTGAGGGTTAGTTAATTGGGAGTGGGAATTCAGTCTTGGCCATGGGGTTGCCATATGAGTGTAACTGGTTAGTTTATATAATCTTCTTTACACTGTCCAAATTCAGTATTCAGTGTTGTAGTCTGTGTTTCTAAGGGTACGTCTAGACTACATGCCTCTGTCGCCAGAGGCATGTAGATTAGGCTACCCGGCATAGTAAAATGAAGCGGCGATTTAAATAATCGCCGCTTCATTTAAATTTACATGGCTGCCGCGCTGAGCCGACAAACAGCTGATCAGCTGTTTGTCGGCTCAGCGCGGCAGCCATGTAAATTTAAATGAAGCGGCGATTATTTAAATCGCCGCTTCATTTTACTATGCCGGGTAGCCTAATCTACATGCCTCTGGCGACAGAGACATGTAGTCTAGACGTACCCTAAGGCAGGGGTAGACAAATACCAGCCTGAGGATTGGATCCGGTTCACATGGGTTAGCCCCATCAGGTTGCTGCCTCTATATTTACCTGCATCTGTGCAGGAATGGGCAGTTGTAGCTCCCTTTGGCCTTGGATGGCCATAACCAGTTACATTTCTCACAGCTCCCATTTGTTGGGTAATTGATTAAATGGGGCCTGTGCAAGCTGTTGGCTCCCAGCCTGTGTGGGGCTGTTGTTTCTGGCCCTGTGCAGGGCTGGAGCAGCCCTCCATCCACAGCAGGCTGTTCCTCGGATACCGGTGTCAGCTGACGGTCAGGGCAGTGAGTGGTGTGTGTGTGTGTACTATACACCCAAGACTTCAACTGCTGAGACCGGGATCCCTTGCAGTGGGCAACCTGGAAGAGGCTGGAGGGTGCCCCAATAAGTGTACAGGAAGAGCTTATTATGCTTCAGATTTTAGCTGCTAGAATTTCATAATTCCTTCGCAGCGGGCAGCCTCAGGGAGACTGAGAAGCGCCCCAACTGAATTTTGCCACCTGGGTGTGACACAAATAGACTTCAACTGCTGAGACCGGGATCCCTTGCAGTGGGCAACCTGGAAGAGGCTGGAGGGTGCCCCAATAAGTGTACAGGAAGAGCTTATTATGCTTCAGATTTTAGCTGCTAGAATTTCATAATTCCTTCGCAGCGGGCAGCCTCAGGGAGACTGAGAAGCGCCCCAACTGAATTTTGCCACCTGGGTGTGACACAAATCCAAACGCCCAAGCTCTCCCTATATCTGTCCCTTTATGACCGGCTGAAGTTCTTTTGTTTGTGTTCGGTTCGGGTACAGCAGCACGGGTCCAAGTCAGAAGCTTGACACACACTGGCTTATTTATAGGAGAAAGAAAAAGAAAAGAAATAAAGAAACTTGGTTCAGTATATATA